CAAAAGCCAAAAACAGCCGCTGTAAAAACGTCAAGTGTGCATGAGGAATAATAGTGTTGATTTACAGGCTTCCGTAGGTCCTAGACCAGGCTGTAACAAGGTCCAGGGCCTGGCTATGCTGTACACCAGATTACAAGACTGGCTGAACAGAATTCCATCTTTTGTCAAGTAAAGCAAATATATACTGTATACGGTCTTCAAAAAGTTTCCACATTCTGAAGAACCTATGTACTGTATCCATCTCTCTCTCTCTCTTCTATCCAGGGGCGGACTGACCATTTGGAAACTCAGGCACTGCCTGAGGGCCCGGGGTAAGTAGGGTCCCCATTAGATGCCCCTGGTACCTTTTTCATAGGCTTTTTTGAGTTTGGGCAAGGACACAGGGGCCCCATGATTCCCTATTGCCTGGGGCCCCATGAGTTGTCAGTCCGCCCCTGCTTCTATCTCTCTCGTGTTCAGCTGTTTGCTCAGAATTCAGCTTTACATACCTAATTTGCATGAACTTTGGATATGTTTACAATTATTGTTCCAGCATGATCATATACTATGACAGCACAGATAAAAGTCACCACAATGCAATGCGTTCCAAAATGCAATGGATTTCTCTTGTGTAGGCTCTCATAGGTGAGCATGTTAATGCAGCACTGCTGCAACACATACGTCTGGTAGCTAAATGCAGCAAACTTTGCATTTGTCCTGGATTGTCAGCAATGCAAACAAATCTCAAAATGACCCCTGCCTCCAAATAAACGCAACAGAAAGCAGCACAAGCACCGCCTCACTGCTGTCATCCACACTGCACCATTCAATAGAAATCTGCAGATCAAACGCAGGAAAATGACACTCATCTACATGAGCACCATTGTAGGTGGCAGTGCAGTCAGATTCATCAGAGTCAGTAGAGACATACACAAACACTAAGGCTAGGTTCACATCTGTGCGGGTGGTGCCTCTGCGGATCCGCATGAAAATCCGTGCAGCTGCACCACCCACAGAGGAATGCGGACCTGCAGGTGGATGCCATTCATTCTAGTGGCACGACGCCCGCACTGGAAAACACAGCCATACTGAGAATCGAGGTTCCAATGCGTGCTGCGCTTTCAGAAGAACTGCAGGGACTTCTTTCCTGCATGTCACGGGGCACGGGAGTCCATTCAAATGAATGGGCTCTCGTGCCTGTGCAAAATGCGGCCTGCGCTGCCGCATAGATGTGAATCGGGGGTGACAGATCTGACCATACATGCTTATCCCTAAATGGATTCAGAGGTTCTGTGCTGCAGAACAGGTCAGCTTTAAGCCCCCGTTCACATTTGAGCATGAGTGTTTTCAGATGATTTTTTTTTCTAGTTTTAATGTGTTTTTTGGAGGTTTTTTTTTTTTTTTTTTACCAATAGAAAGCTAGTTACTAGGAGGAGAAGGGTGAGAAATTGTGCAAAAATCAGCCTATAGAGGCCAAAGATGTGCGGCTCTGCCCCAAAGAAGCTTCAAGATGAGTCAGCTTTAAGCCCCAATTCACATTCATTGTTTTTTTAGACAAATTTGGAACTTTTTTAAAAATTTTTTTTGTGTTTGTACAGACAGACATTTTTAGCTGCTTTGAGTTTTTTTATTTTAGCCCATGAAAATCTAGTTACTAGGAGAAGTACAAGAAGTCACGCGAATACCAGTCTATATGGGCCAAAAAATGTACAATTCTACCCCAAAGAAGCTGCAGGACAGCTCAGCCTTAAAGCTGTAATAAACCCAAAAGCAAACATTTATTATATTGCAGCTTACCAATTCTTAGATGTGATAGCTGCATTAGTTTTCTTTTTTAGGCTTTCTTTCTTCTATTATTATTATACAGGATTTATAAAGCGCAACAGTTTGCGCAGTGCTTTACAAAATGAAGGTAGACATTACAGTTACAATACAATTTGGTACAAGAGGAAACAGAGGGCCCTGCTCGTTAGAGCCTACAATCTAGGATCTTCATTTGGTGATCCAGCCAGTAAGTGTGCTTTTCAAAAGCACAGGCTCTACAGCAAAGGTATTAGTTTACTTGGATGAGACAAACTATTTAGCCCTAGCATGGGTGCTTAAAATGATGAGCTTTTATTTATTAATGTAAAACCTTTAATCTAAAAAGGAAAAAACTGATTGCTGTAACCTCATATAAAGTGTACATTGGAGTTTGCGTTCAGTTTGTTAGTGTGTTTAAATCTGATAATACACTCCCCTCCCCCCCAGACTGACAATGCTGCTGTCTGCTGTGCCTCCTGTGCTCATTCCTCCAGAATTGTGTCTTTACAGGAGGCATGTTGCTGGCCACATAACCAGGTCAAAATAGAGGTAAGAAAAACAATAGAAAAGAAAACTAATCCAGCCACCACACTTAATGATTGGCAAGCTGCAATTTATGTATTTATTTATTTCAGGTACTTATACAGCGCCATCAATTTACGCAGTGCTTTACATATATATTGTACATTCACATCAGTCCTAACCCTCAAGGGGCATACAATCTAAGGTCCCTAACTAACATTCATCATACATACACATACTAGGGACAATTTAGAAAGGAGCCAGTTAACCTACCAGCATGTCTTTGGAGTGTGGGAGGAAACTGGAGTACCCAGCGGAAACCCACACAGGCACAGGGAGAACATGCAAACTCCAGGCAGGTGGTGCTGTGGTTGGGATTCGAACCAACGACCCTAGTGCTGCCAGGTGGATATGCTAACCATTTAGCCAATGTGCTGCCCACATATATTACATTTATAATATATAATATTGTAATAATATATCATTATTTAATAATATATTTTGTTTTGGGTTTAATAGTTTAATGCGCCATTCTGTTTTAACTATGAATGTTATTAAATGATTTTAGACCTTACTTTGTGTGTTTGTACATGCATTTTCCTGGTGTTATGAGCGTTTTTGTTTTAGCCAATATAAAACTAGTTACCAGGAGAAGGGTGCAAAATCATGCAAAAAAAATCATGCAAAAATGTGCAACTTTGCCCCAGATGAGCCTATGTACTTTTTCAAACCACACAACACTCAGGTGTGAATGGACACACTTGAATATAGTAGGAATTTTGACACTGAGCATTGAAGTGCTTCAGAACACACATTTCAAATTGCACAGGCTACTTGCACAAAAAAAGTCACGTTTTCAAGCATTTTAAAAAACATTTTAAGCATTTTTTGGAGAAGAATTGCATGTTTTTGCAGCTTTTGTCAAGTGTTTTCTTCAGGTGCTTTTCAACTAAAAGGTGTGGAGTACTGCTGAAAAAGGGGCTGAGAGCTGCTGTTTGAGCAGAAAATGTGTGACAAAGTGCTTAAAAAAAAAATGCTCGGTATAAGCCAGGGGCGGACTGACAACTTATGGGGCCCCTGGGCAATAGGGATCATGGGGCCCCTGTGTCCTTGCCCAAACTCAAAAAAGCCTATGAAAAGGGTACCAGGGGCATCTCATGGGGCCCCCTACTGACCCCAGGCCCTCTGGCAGCGCCCGAGTTTCCAAATGGTCAGTCCGCCCCTGTTATAAACTCATGTTGTGCTTTCCAGGCGTTTCCCTTGAAGTCTATGGGGACAAAAAGATTCTGCCTGAAAAGTAGCTCATGTACTCTTTTGAGCGACAGGCGTTTTGCTACAAGCGACAGGACGCTGAAATATGAACAAGGGCTATTGAAAACAATAGGTTTTTTGCTTGTTGAGTGTTTTTAAGCTTCAATCTGTAAAACGCTCATGTGTGAACATGGCCGTAGGTGTAAACTGAGTTTACGCACACTCCAGCAAAAAAGAGCAGCATGTTCACAGAACGACAGAATGAAAAACCAGTGGAACGGTCATACTGCGCCTGCACGCAACCTAATGACCATCTTTCTAGGTCTTCATAGTGGGGACAGTGTGAATTCCCTGCTTGACCTCCAGTAAAAGCAGCCAGCGGTGCCCTTTCACACAGTGTAACTCGAGTCCAGGACAAACACACCAACACTAGACCAAAATCCTTAGGAATCCCTAAATTACAGTCTGTAGGGTTTATCTGATACCAGTGTGAAAATCTCTAGAGAGAAATCCCTTTTAGCAGCAGAGGAAGCCTCGTTAACCCTTCAGGTCAGATGGGAGGCCAGGGCTTGGGGAGGCTTCCTCCCTTGTTTTTCTGGAGGACAGGTCAGCTTGGCGCTGGAGGAGTTAATGAAAGAAGATTGTAGCTTTTACAGAAGAAGGAAACATGAGATCCTTTGGCTGATCTGAGCCTCAATGGATACCGTACCCTGGGAGCAGCAAGTCTCAGCCTCCATCCATCCCTCCCCTGCCTCCTCCTCTCTCTGTACAAGTCAGGAGCAGCGCAGAGCCGGCTAGATCAGCCAGTCAACCTGCAGGAGAGAGCAGCTAGACAGCTCTGCAATCTGGAGGCTGACCATTGTTCTACAGCACTGCCTGACACCCCAGGATTACAAACTTCTACAAACTTCTCTTGGGTTACTTGTGGATCGGCTGGTGGTAGGACCATCCAGGATCTGGCTACCAGGGCTGAAGAGCAGTCCCACCATCCAAGAACTTTCTAAAGGGTTTTGTTGGGTTCTTCAGCATCTGATCGGCTGGTGGTTTGACCATCCAGGATCTGGCTACCAGGGCTGAAGAGCAGTCCCACCATCCAAGAACTTTCTAAAGGGTTTTGTTGGGTTCTTCAGCATCTGATCGGCTGGTGGTTTGACCATCCAGGATCTGACTACCAGGGCTGAAGAGCAGTCCCACCATCCAAGAACTTTCTAAAGGGTTTTGTCGGCTTCTGCAGCATCTGATCGGCTAGTGGTTTGACCATCCAGGATCTGACTACCAGGGCTGAAGAGCAGTCCCACCATCCAAGAACTTTCTAAAGGGTTTTGTTGGGTTCTGCAGCATTACAGGCTGCCTGGATCGGTCTGCTGAAGAGGACTTGGCCAATATTTTTTGGGTGATTTGTCTGGCAGTTGTTGCATGTTGTCCAGGATCGGTGGGCTTGGAAGATGGGCTCTATGCTGTGGTCGCTTCTCTTCTACTTGCCTGCCCTGTGCTGCCTGGCCCTGGAGGTCTACAGCTTTGGGGAAGAAGAGGAGAGAGCGCTGCGACCCAATCAGGATCTCCATGTGCCAGAACCTGGGCTACAATGTAACCAAGATGCCCAACCTGGTGGGACATGAGCTTCAGACCGATGCGGAGCTTCAGCTCACCACCTTCACCCCTCTCATCCAGTATGGGTGCTCCAGCCAGCTACAGGTGGGTATCTGGCAAGAATCATTTAGAGGACCACAGTGGAAGAAGTGGGGTACCAAAACTTGGGGGGGGTCAAGACTTGATGTAGGTTAGGTTCACATCTATGTGTGTGGTTGATACATTTTGCTGCACTTTTTTGATGCATTTTCATGCTTCTGCTTTTTTTTGTGGCAGGAGACTGATTGTCAACCACAAAACCTTACCAAAAAGGCACCAAAAAAATGATGTATGGCTACGTTCACACCTATGCATTTTGTGGTGCGTTTTCATTTTTGTAGAAGCACATTACAGTCCAATTAACATGATTTCCTGTGGGTCATGTTCACATCTGTGCATTTTCAACTGGTGCCTTTTTTGGAAATGGTTGGGGACTATTTTGCTCATAGCAGGTTGAATTTTGGGTTCCATGGATCTCAATGGAAATGCGTTAGAAACAAAGCAACGCTGCATTTTTTGCAGATTTCTCCTGCATCACAGCAGACTGCTCCCAAAAATGCAAAATGCATCAAAAACACCAAATCCATGTCAAAAAATGTCAAAAACATATCAACAGCAATCCACATAGGTGTGAACCTAGTCTACAGTCCTGTTTTTGATGCAGTTCCAGAGAAGTTTATTGAGCCAAAAATGCTACATGCTGTGTGCAAAAAAAAGTCCCTGCACCGTATCCAAAAACAGGAAACTGCATAGATGTGAATGGGACCCATAGGAAATAATGTTAAATGGATTGTGGTGCGTTTCTGCGGATCCTCAGGAGAGATGTGAACCTTGCCTTAAGATGGACTTGCATCATAAAATATTGCGTCTTTTGCTGCATGTTTCTGAGTTTTGCTGCTGCTTTTTTAAATGCAAGTTAAGCCCCCATTCACACCTGAGTGGTTTTGCACATGTTTGTGTGTTTAAACTGATGTGCGACAATGATCAGCAATAGGGATCCTGTTCTTTTCAATACAGGCTGTTCACATTTCTGCGCTCCGTAGCTTGGAGCTGGAAAAAGTACATGAGCTTTTTTGGAGCTGTGTTGCATGTTTTTGACCCCATAGACTTTAATGGAAGCATCTTTTTTATATTTTAGTAAGCTCAAACCCAGCAGCTTGCATACACATGCAAAAATAAATCTGTGTAAGTGTTCCATAAGCACTTACTAAAATTGAACAGAGGCTAAGGCTGAATTCACACCTTTCTGTAAAAATATTTATGCTTTTTTTTATTAAGATGCTTATTCTTTGTACCATACATAAATGCACGTCTTGAATATGTTTCCATGTGCTGCTGTTGGAATCAGTAGGCCCAGAAGTGCGTTAATGCTCAATACTCAGATTTCCATGTTATTCTATTGTGTCCGTTCACATCTGAGCAATGTGCTGTCAACATTCAGAAAAAGTACAGGGGGTTTTTTGGGAATTGCAATTTTGGCCCCAAGCCTGGATTCACACTTCAGTGTGCATTTATTTTCACTCATTTCAGTGTGTTTCAGACTTGAGTGTTTTTGCTTTAGCCAATGGAAAAATCTACATACTATGGGGAGGAGATGGTTGTTGGGTCCAAAATCACATGAAAAAAAGCTTTACTCTTGTTTTTCAGGTGCTCCCATTGAAATCAAATGGGTCCAAAAAAGTGTGATTATGCGCCAGAGAGACTCCTGTATCTGAGCACATGGATATCTGAGTGTTGAAGCACTTCTGGAAACACACTTCAGATTGCTCAGGTGTGCAGGAGGGCAAAAGACTTCAGGAGCAGCTGAAAAACGCATGTAACATGCGTTTTTTTTAATATGATGTTGTGCCTGTCAACCAATCTCTCCTACGAGAGGTTTACAATGGCTAAAAAATGGCTCAGTCCTATAAACACAGACACACCCAGATTGGAACATTTTTGGCCATTGCACATTGCACAAATGTAAACTAGCACCAACTGGAGGGCTAAATTATTTTCTTGTGTTCTAATGTGTGCGTTCAGATGCATAGGTGTGAATGATCCCTAAAATGCAGCATATTGCAGTAAACACATAGTGAAGTGGTAAAGTTGACACGTTTTTACCATTGATGCATTTCCTAAGAAAACTATAAAAGTCTCTGGAAATCATAACTGTTTTGGCATCTCATGACAATCATAGGTCCATCTATCTCTTGACAACTCTTTGCAGATCTACAAGTTGCTAAATGAGAACTCTTGGTTTATGGTCGATGTTGAATCCCTCACTGTCTCCTCTTATTTTTGGGTAGCTGCATTGGTGGCTTTGGTAGTGGCAATGGCACAGAGGTTCAGTGTTTTTTCTTTTCTTTAGTTCCAGATCCATCAGCCCTCTCCTAATGGTCTCGTTCCTATTTTTTCTTCTCCGTATGGTATAGTAAATGCAAAACCCCACAGGTATAGTGGGGCTTCCTTAACCCTGGCTGAAGCAGGTGGCCACACATGGGAACTCAAGTGCAAATCATTCATCACAGGCTCCCTGAGAGTTTTTTATTTATTTATTTCAGGTACTTATATAGCGCCATCAATTTACGCAGCGCTTTTTACATATGTATTGTACATTCACATCAGTCCCTAACCCTCAAGGGGTGTACCATCTAAGGTCCCTAACTCACATTCATACATACACATACTAGGTCCAATTTAGATAGGAGCCAATTAACCTACCAGCATGTCTTTGGAGTGTGGGAAGAAACTGGGAGTACCTGGAGGAAACCCACACAGGCACAGGGAGAACATGCAAGCTCCAGGCAGGTGGTGCCGTGGTTGGGATTTGAACCATAAGAAACTACCTTGTATATCTAACATACTGTATACCAGAAACTGATTATGCATTCGTTTACGATAGAATGAGCTTTGATAAATACATTTTGTTTAAATATTATTATTACTATCAATATGTTTTCAAATATTATTGAATTACTTCTTTTTTCCTGGAGGAATTCCCATAGTATGAGTCATCTGAGAAACTACTATTAATTTTACCATTAAACAGACATTTTTCTTGTTAATAATTAACACACCTTCTCATGTTTGCATTGACTGCTTTAACTGCTGTTAGTCTTTGACCAACACTAATGCCATGAGTTATTCTGCTGAACTTAGTTTGCTGACTTGGTTACCCTTATGACTTTGTAAGATGTAGGTGACTTCAGGACTGGCCATTGTATATAAATCCTGTATAATAATTGTTAATTTAATAGTTTAGCAGCACATTTACTCTAGGTTGGTCATAGCATGCTCTCGCTTTGTCATGGCTGGATTGTCAGTTGAATTGCCCTCACAGCCAGAATGAAACATTGCATTTGCATTCCTCATTAATGTAAACAAGTAGCAGTTCAAGCTGTACCTTCAGTTTACCGTCTACCACGTCTACCAATAGATGTATGGACTTCTTTGTCAGCAACTGTTTACACTAAATATACCATTCCAAAAGGAGACTAAATAGGTGCAAGTAGGAAATAATTTAAGTTTCAACTGAATTTGCATTACTGTTCATCAATAATTAATAGACATTTACTAAATTTTTTACTGATTTACTAAAACTAGAGAGTGCAAACTCTGGTGCAGCTGTGCATGGTAGCCAATCAGCTTCTAACTTCAGCTTGTTCAATTAAGCTTTGACAAAAAAAAAAGCTGGAAGGTAATTGGTTTCTTTGAAGACCTGCACCAGATTTTGCACTCTCCAGTTTTAGTAAAGCAACTTCATTGTTTTATATGATAATAGAATAGCCAGTCATTCATTTTTGAAAAGGCAAATATCCCGGGGAGCGATATTTCAGTCGCAGGTGGAGTTTGGTAGGAGTGTGACTTCTTTAATCTGTTGAATCTCCAGAGGCAAGATCTCATTAAAAGGGTTCTTGGATTTCTTATGGTGAGAGTTAAGATGACATGAAAGAGGTAATAGCATAAAGGGGCGGAAAAGAAAAAAACATGTGATAAAGGACAACATACTATTATAGGTACTTATATAGCACTGTCAATTTTACATATATATTGTACATTCACATCAGTCCCTAACCCTCAAGGGATGTACAATCTAAGGTCCCTAACTTACACATACTAGGGCCAATTTAGACAGGAGCCAATTAACCTACCAGCATGTCTTTGGAGTGTGGGAGGAAACTGGAGTACCTGGAGGAAACCCAAACAGGCACAGGGAGAACATGCAAACTCCAGGCAGGTGGTGCCGTGGTTGGGATTTGAGCCGACGACCCTAGTACTGCCAGGCAGAAGTACTAACCATTTAGCCACTGTGCTACCCCATCCATGTGAATGTGAACAACCCTCCAAAAATGTTGTCAACTCAATAATGACATATATAAAATATTCCTCCAAATATATCCTGGAGGCTCAAAATATCTATCAAACCATTTTGATCCTATCAGCCTTAGGGTTTTGGTTGTCCTTGGCCACATTTCTGTGTTCCTCCTCTCCACAAAATACATCTAAATTCCAGAAGGGAACGTGAGACCCCCTTAATAACTGCTGCTGCAAACCTGGGAACTTGAGAGCTGAAATCTAAGCACCAGAATTCCCAAGAGACCTTAGAGGTTTAGAATCTAATCATGAATTCACAAAACATTAGTTTTGGATGGATTGACCTTGGAGTAATATTGAGATGCAAATCTATAAAATGTATGCAGTTGATCATTCATGCTAAAGTCATTTAATGTGTTATATACCGTACTTGTTAGAAAGTGTTCTTTACATTCTGAAGCAGTATGCGCTTGACAAGTCTAGGCCATCAGCCTATAGTTAGTAAGTACAGGACATCACTCTCCAGTTAAAAATAGTTAGAAGTTTTAAGTGTGTGTCTGTCTATAGCTGTAATGTTTAGACGCATGTAGTCTAAAGTTCTAATAGACTAGCTAGTAACATGTGTTCCTATTAAAGTGCACCTGTACTTAAATAGCAAACAAATGCGGAGAAGGGCACAGGGGGGAACATATTCTTTACTTAGTTCTTCCAAGAGTGAATGTTAAAGCTAACTGTACACATGCCAGTTGATAGAGAGAGATCAAACATTT